GAGGGATACCGAAGGATGGAAATTCCATTTCTTTGCAAACTGATGCTTATCTTCCATCTCATCTTATGAAGGAAGTCAATGAGTTGAATAAGTCATATCTTGAATCTTGTCAGCAATATAAAACAAAGAAAGAGGCCAAATTGGCTCTCATTGCAGAGCGACGACAGGAGGTTCAGTCAGTTATCTCTGAAGCCTCTGTTCAATCATCTGTGGAGTCATTTTGGTGGATTTCAGTAGACTGGCTACACCAATGGGCAGACACCATCACTCCTACGTAAGTGAATTCTTATTACCACTTCTCTTCCCACTTCTCTTCTCCTGAGATTGCGTATTGTGTTGGTTTGTACACGCTCCTAATAAGCATTTCAATTACAGATATTTAACTTGAGTTTGTTGTTTGTCGTTTGCCAACAGGACTTGATTATGAATACAAAGCCATCCATCTGTTCAAACGAGAGCAACACAGTCCTGTTAACAAACTAAAATTGTTCAAAAATCTCATCAGGTTCTTTTTTCCACTCCCAGGGTTTAGTTGTTGTATTGTTTTGATATGATTTTATGTTATCTATGATCTTAATCTTTCACTTGAGTTGTTGAAGAAATTGTTTTGCTGGAGTTTCTAATGTTCAATAAGTACTTCATGAAAGATAACAGAAAATATGTGCCTGCAGTGTAAAATATTTACCCAGGCTCCATATATGCTCTAAATGAAGATWAGCAAAAATAGCATGGAAACACTTCACCAGTAAGCTATACTACRCCAATAAGCATTTAGACCTATATCTTAATTAGAAATCATAAAGCACAAAGTACTACCATTTTATGCTTAGAATCTGGGATTTGCAGGGTATAGATATCGATGAAAGAACTTGGATAATGTCAATACCCATTTTCTAAAAGAAATTATCTTATAGYTGTTGCACTAAACCCTGTCTACAAACTGATCCATTGACTTAATACATGCTAATATGTTATTCTTTCTTTAAACATTTACGTTTTGCAGTCCAAATTAGAAGCAAATCTAGCTAGAAGAACAGAACACTACTCTTCTGAGAACATGCGGGTTATTAAAGGTTTTACGTTCTCCCATACTAATCATGATCACACAGCTGCAGATGCACACACTATCTTACATACTATAACCATCACAATTAGATTGTTGATCATCCATCAAAGTAGTAAAACAGTCAAATTTTTACATACTATAACTATGCTATTGAAATGTTCTGATGGCTTATTGACTTGTAGATAAAGAGGGAAATTGTCACAGTTAGCGGTTCACATGAAATTATTGCATTATGGCTAACACCTTTGCAGACACCTTGCAATCAGACGAGGCTTCATCATCTAGGCAAAGTAACAAACGTGGTTCTACTCACGCAGACTATAAAAAAGTTAGAAAAGAGATGGCAGGTGATAGGTAGAGTATCAAGTTTTGCGAGGAGTTTAGGGCGGATGTTAGAAAATGGATTTATAGAWTGATTGAATGTTGGGGATTGTTTTGAACTTATTTTTTTATATTATAAATTTATATCAATTTATTGCTTTGAGATTTTTATGTTGTTTTTATTGATTAATATAATATATAATTATATACAAATATAGATCTTGAATATGGATGAAAAATAATAATAACATGCCCTTTAGAGAAAGAATTGATATTTTAAAAGTGTATCTAGAGATAAGATTTAGAGAAGGTTTTGATTATTTGTATATAAAGATAATCTTTTGAGAAGATTTGTAGAGTGTAACTAAAGGACATCTTTAGAGAAGGTTTAGGTAAAATGTCACTAAAGCCAATATCTTTAGAGAAGGTTTAGGTAAAATGTCACTAAAGCCAATATCTTTAGAGAAGTTTTTTTGTAAACCTTCTCAGAAAACACCTTTTAGAGACGTTTATAAACCGTCATTAATACTTGAAAAGTGTCACTAATAAATACATTTAGAGAAGTTTTTATAAAAAAGTTAACTAACCTTTAGAGAAGTTTTGAAGTGTATCTAAAGCCCTAAAAAAGTCTCTAAAAGCTACAAAAAACATACCCTTCGAAAACCGTCCCTAAAACTTTTACCTACCCTTACATAGAGAAACTTGTTGACGGAAATGAAAAGCTTCTCTAAAGCCTTTAGAGAAGCTTTTAAGAATTTTAAGTACAAAACAGAATCTTCTCTAAAGGTTATTTTTCTTGTAGTGATGCTAGCTTTGGGGCTCATTATATCATGTAAGTTCATATAATACAGTTTCCTCCCAAGATTGCAAAAGTGGGGATGGTTAGAACACTGCAATTTACAGGAGTAAGTTTCTTGTATTTAATAAAATGATTCATGCTTTGCTTTTTCATTTTCATTCATGTAGTTTGTTAAGATATGTTGACCAATTAAACCTCCTGGTAACCCACTACCTTCATATATCATCTACTACTTGAAGCTTGTATGCTTATGATATTAAAACCATATAACCAACTTTTCTTAGTCTGCTTACTTTTTGCAAATACATTTTCTCATGAATTGAAATATGTCTCTCACAAGGGATGCCATTCTTTACTTCAAGTTTGACTAAAATATCAACGTGCCAAACTACCGGTACTAAGAATATGGTCAAGCAAGCGAGTAAGATTGTTATTAAGGCTCTTACATGGATTTTCAATTAGAAATAAGTTTTTGTATACATTATATTGTATTGTAAAACTTTGGTGCCGTTTATCAAACACTTATCTGGTAAAATTCAATATTATCATTTACTTACCGGGTAAGATTTTAGTCAACAAAAACGACTTTCTATGCAACAATTTATCCGGTAAGAGCTGACCGTGGTAAGAGTCATTGCCTTCACTTACCAGGTAAGACTCTCAGTCCTTGCCTCGTTCTTACCGAGTAAGATTTTTAGTTCTTACCATATTCAAAATTGTGATTTACCCGCGCTGCATCGCGCGGGTACACCACTAGTTTATAAAAATACATGTGAAGAATATATTTAAGAATGTGTAATTACTTATATTTTTAATTAATAAAATAATAAATTTACCTTTAATTATAAAGAAAAAAAATATTATTCATCTCCTAAGGATAAAGTGAAGAGGTGGATATTTAATTTTAAATTATTTAAAAATAAAATAAAAAATAATAATATAAACATTTGTTTTATAACAAAAGACGGAGATTGGGGTGCTCAGGGGTTGGGTTGATCAGGTTGAAGACATTTGAACAACCCAATCCAATGCTTGTGGTTTGAAAAATCTTAACCCAACCCAATCCGTACGGGTTGGTCGGGGTCGATACTTTGATACATTAAAATATTCTTATAACTTAGAATATATTATTTCTTTACTCATAATTTATTTTTCATCATCGACCATTTGATATAACTTATCATACTTCTTACGTATATCACATTCAGTTAATTTTCTCAATTTATATATATATATATGTTCACAGTTACTGAACATATATACGAATGAGTTATATAAAGATGTGATTAGATTGAAAATATGTGTATATGAAGAGCATACATGATAGTATAATTGTCTAATGTACATATCAATAGAAATTCAACAATCATATTAAATCTAAGAAATAAAAGGATATCAGGTTCATCGGGTTTAGTTGGGTTCAAATAATAGCAACCTAATATAAACTCAATACCTACGGTTTGACAATTTTATAACTCGATTAAACATCGAATTGCTTCAAATTGAGTTATTTTATGTTGGATTAGGTTAGATTGATCGGGTTGGTCGGATTTTTGAACACCCTTAACGGAGAGTATTAAAATTTAACATTTTTAATCAAAGATGATAAAGAGTTTTTATTTACATGCAAATGCAAAGAACAAGGCACCGTTTAGACAGTAACACAGAACCCATCACGGCGTTGGAATCCAGCTGGACTGACACAATGGTACACTCACGAGAATCCCATCTCAGTCAATCATTGACCATATACGACACCGTTTTTACCCAACAGAAAAAAGGAAAAAACTATTGACCCTTTTATTACGGTCCACCACTATTGTCTGTCTTCCAAATGTACACTCTCAACCTATGCATCTTCTGCCACGTGCCACTTTATTGTTGGCTAAATTAGTTCCCAAAACGGAATTTTCTGATTTAAATCTTCGAAAGTATTTTCACAAATCAAATGTGGAGAAAATCTTTTTTTTTTTATTAACCTCGATATCCAACCCGTTATCCGAACCGATAATTTCATAACAACCATATGCTTTGCAGATAGCCCGGAGTCACGCATTTGAACCTCCGTGGCCACAAGGGGATTTTTATCTCTCTTTGTATTTGAACCTGCGACCTCCTGATACTTTTGATATTTGGAGTCAAGCTCAAACCAATCAGGTACCACCCTTGTGGTTATGTGGAGAAAATCTTTGTTTTTCCTAGATTTTGATTTATTTTAAAAGTAAACTACAAATTTGGTCCCTCTGATGGTCATTAAAAATCGGGTTAAACGATTTTTTATCCAACCAAAACTCACAAAGACCTAAATCATAAAAATCGATTTTAATTGGGTAAAAAACAAAAAACGGATTAAAAAAACTCCCCTCATCGAAAAAAAAAATTAATAGTCGTTAGAGAGAATGAACAATTTATAGTTATCTTGTAATTTAATTACCGTAAGAATGAAAAAAAAAACTCGATGATTCTTTTGACTATTTACTTCTCCATCTGTTAGAAATGCTCTAACGAAACAAAAAAGAACACAAAACCAAAAACTCGCAACACCCCTAGAAAACCAAAACACGAAAGCCCAACGTCTATAAGTAATTAATTTGAAGTCATGTGCGGAGAGCCAATCCAATTAGTCCATGATTTAATGAATGATTTGTGTCTTTCGGGCATCTCCGACAGATTGTCAATAATTTCTCTTAAATAGATAAATGAAATTCAACAAATTACATTCAACTCTAACAAATTCTTTATTTTAGAGATCTCAACATAATTACATTAATAAAATATTATCTGATTTTATCATCCCAATACAGTTTTAAAAAAACTTTATATTACATAATAATATTTCAATAATAATTGGTGGAAATGAATAAAAAATCATTATCTCTCATGAGATGAAGTTCTAGAAAATTTTCTAAATTTGTAGTTTTTTCATGTTCTTTTTTCTATTTTTTTTAGAATAATACAGAGAATAAAACCTTAATTTTCTATGTTTTAGAGAATCTGTTGCAGATGTCATAAAGAAACCTAACAGTAGGACTGAGATTTGATATCACCAGATATATCCAAGGTCAAAGCAGCCCTTTTACAGACACAAACATTCCTTCCCCTCCAAATAAAACACTCAACATTCCAGACAACCGCTTTTCAAATACCTTTAAGGTTGTAAGGGATTGATAATGAACTCGAAAACTCGAACCTTAAGAGTGAGAAAGTTTTGGACTGGTTTTAGTATAAATGTAATTTCAAAATTCATATAATACATCTTTTATTGTTATTTATTACAATTTTTTCTATGAATAAAAAATAAACATGTTAAGTAAATTTTGATAACAACGGGAGAAAAGAAATGCCGGAAATGTGAGAAAATCTTTAAAGATAAAGCGGTAATAAAGTTTAATTAAAAATTGATATGCGATGTTTATCTTATATTTGATTATGTTTATCAGTTTCATGTATAAATATAGATATCAAATTAAAGAAAATAGATATGAAATTAAAAACAATAAAATAATTATTTTCCATATAATTTGTTTGATTAAAAAACTAGGTATATTTAAATAATTTAAATTTAAAAAGAGTCTGTAGTTATCTTGTATTTGATAATGTTTATCAGTTAGTTCAATGCATTCAAATATATAACATGTTTATCATGTATTTGATTATATTTTATCCATTATTTATATGAATTTAAATATAAAACTTTACGAAGCTATATATGTGCATCATTAACATGAAATCTTAAATCTCAAATAATGTGCTTTGATTAACGATAATCCGATAACATAATATAGAATAATTATTTTTCATATAATATGTTTAATTAAAAAGTTAGTTATATTTATATAATTTAAATTCAAAATGAAACTGTGTTTATCATATATTTGATTATGTTTATCAGTTAGTTCAGTACATTCAAATATATAACATGTTTATCCTATATTTGATGTATTTTATCCATTATTTATATGAATCCAAATATTAAGCTTTATAAAATTATATATATACATCATTAACATGAAATCTTTAATATTAAGTAACGTGTTTTGATAAACATAAATAGTTAAATACATACGTTATGGTAATCCGATAAAAAACTAAAAACAAAATTATCAATACTGGTTTAAATTAAAAACAAATAAAATGTTTATCTTTTGATATATTTGTTTTACTAAAATATTAACTATATCTAAGATATTTTAAATTTGAAGATAAAACGATACTACATCTAATTAAATAAATGAGATATTTATCCGGTATTAGATATTATGTTTCTCTGTTAATTGTCAAGATATCGATATCAATTTAACCGAT